CGGTAAAGCAGGGAGGTTTCGCGACCATGTGATGCTTTGCTGATTTATTTATTTTTTACTGCATCTTGGCAGTAAAAAAGGATGGCTTAAATATTAACAGTACTAATAACAGGAAGGGCCACCCGCTCAGCAAATTCTTAGCTGCAAATTCCATGTAGTGTCAGGAAGGGCAGCTGGTCAGTAAATTCTCAGCTCCATCCAGTCGCTTCGACTTTACCCCGAATGAAGGGTCTTTAAAAAAGGGAATTTAATAAGGATAATCTTCCAGAGATATGCATGAATTTTCAAGTTGGCATTTGAAAGCAGCCTGAGAGACCCGGGGAGAAATACATCTGTAATAAGCTGTTCTCCAGAAGGCTCTTAGCCAATTCAGATTCACCTTCCTCTCCGTCCCAGCTGCCTGCACCGCCGGCAGACCGACATCCAACAGGGAAAGCTCCTTGCCTGCCAGAGAGGGGAACCTGGTAAATTTCTCAATCCAGGTTCAAATCTCCAGGGGAGAGGAAATTTCAGCCAATTTCTAAATCGTGAAGATTTTTCCTTTCGTCCTTCCACCTCCCTTGGATGCTCTTATTTTGCACTTTTGCACTTTTATGGCATCCTCCAATATATGTATATATATTTTCCCATTTATGGAAGCAAATTCTATCTGGGTTTCCACCACCTTGTTTTCTCCGCTCTGACTGTTTCTTCCTGGGTGATTATCGGAACATATGCTGCTGTTTCTTCTGTCTTTTTTCTGTCTGCAATGGTGTGCGTTCATTATGGGATGGATTTGCTGTTGCCTCGGCAACAGAGGAAGGAGAGACCTCTTCTCAAGGAGAAAGGCTTTAGGAAAAGAGAGAGAGAGAGAGAGAAAAAAGAAGAATATGTCTTCCAAAATTTGGAGGGAGTGGAAGGAAAGAGAGAATTTAAGAACTGGGTTTTGGGGTTTTTTTGCGAGCATCTAAGAGGCCCCAGCCTCCAAATTGGAGGCTTAGCATCTAAGATCCCATCCATCTGGCTGGCAGGACCAGGATGATGGGAGGGGTAGTCCCAGTCACGGCTTTGTGAAAAGCATCTTTCGTGCTTTTCAAGGAAATTAACTTTATTTATCCACTGCTGGTGAAATATTGTCTCGTGATGAAAAAAGCAAGCAATTATTCAGGCTTCGCTGAATGGTTTGAAAGCCTTTTAGTGCTTGCCCTCAATTTCTTAACCATGCATACTTTTCAGCTTGGTTGGTTTTTCAGGTTAGGATATTGTGCTGGTCCAGGAAACGGGTTCATTCAGGAAACAAGTGAAAGGAATTATTGCACGGGCTTTGCGGTGGAAGAAGTATTTGGTTTGTACAATAGGTTGACCCAGGGTAGGGAAGGAGAAGCTAAGATATACGGTAACTGAGAAACTATCTAAAAGCGGGTTGTTTTTTAAAGTGAATGTTGTTCAGTGATGCTTTTGAGATTCTGGAGAAGGGAAAGAGAGGTGAGGAAAGAGAAATAGAGACAGAAAGATAAGGAGGAAAGGAGGGAGGGAAGGAAATAAACACAGAGGATTCGGTGTCTGTAAAAATGAGATAATTCTGGGTTTGAGGTCAGGATGGATGGATTTGGAAGAGTGAAGGGAAGCCCTCCGAGGCAGACAATTGTTTATTTTTATTTGATTCGATTTTTATTTCATTTCATTTGATTTGTCAAACGCTTACAAGATAATAGGTATAAGTACACTATAAACATGGGTAAGAATACAGGAAATAGGTACGGATGAATGGGGAGAATAGGACAGGGACAGTAGACACGGTGGTGCACTTATGCACGCCCCTTACAGACCTCTTAGGAATGGGGTGAGGTCAATAGTGGATAGTTTGAGGTTAAAGGTGTGGGAGTGTTTGAGGATGTAACAACAGAGTCAGGTAGTGCATTCCAGGCATTGACCACTCTGTCGCTGAAGTCGTACTTTCTGCAATCGAGTTTGGAGCAGTTAACATTGAGTTTGTATCTGTTGTGTGCTCTTGTGTTGTTGCGGCTGAAGCTGAAGTAGCCATTGACTGGCAGGACATTGCAGCAGATAATTTTTGTGCACTACGCTTTTAATTGTGCAAAAAAACACAAGAAAGGATCATACACCCCTCCTTGTGTGTGTGTGTGTGTGTGTGTGTGTGTTTGTGTGTGTGTGTGCTCCTTCCTTCTGCTTCCTTTTTCTCCGCTGTGCGGGGAACCGAAGAGAATTTAATTGCTCTTTTTCCGGCTTAATTGCCCACTGGGGAAAATAAAGGTCAGAAGGCTTCCTCTTTGAGCAGCGGCTGCGGCTGTTTTTGCTTTCTAGTTTCCCCGGCCAGACTACGAGTGAGCAAAGCACACAACACACCTAGACACCTGTTCAAATCTTGGCCTTTAAGAGAGCTAATTTCAATAAACTTAAGAGAGATCTTAGGAAGGATTCCATGGGTGAGAATCCTCGAGGGGAAAACAACTCAAGGAGCTTGGGAGATTTTTTGAAAAATCAGATTATAAAAGCCCAGTCTAGCACAATACCAATGGATATGTTATACAAGCAGTCCTTGACTTCCGACACCTGTGGAGCCCCAGAATTTCCATGGCTAAGCGAGACATGGGTCAGATTATAAAAGCCCAGTCTAGCACAATACCAATGGATATGTTATACAAGCAGTCCTCGACTTCCAACACTTGTGGAGCCCAGAATTTCCATGGCTAAGCGAGACATGGGTCAGATTATAAAAGCCCAGTCTAGCACAATACCAATGAAGAAGGAAAATAACAGCTCTCAAAAGAAGCCAGCAAGGCTGCATAAAAGAACTTCCTGTTCAATTGAAAAGACCCAAAAAAGGAGAAGTGTAAAAAGTGGAATATCAGAATATCAGCAAATAACCCGAGCCTGCAAAGATGAAGTGAGGAAAGCTAAGGCTCGTCATGAACTTAGGGATAACCATTTGTCTGAAACGGTTTCCTGTCTAAGCAGGGGGTTGGACTAGAAGACCTCCAAGGTCCCTTCCAAACTCCGTGATTCTAGATTCTGTATCTCTTTCCTTGCCTAAAACTCTTTTCAGGTGACCTTCCCCACCAATCAACCTGCTCCTTCCTGCCCGATTACAGCCCCTTGTCTGGGTCACACCAGCTGTGTTTGAGAAATGACCACAACCAACAAGTTCATTAGCATCGTCTACACACACACACTCCATAGCCTTGACTCTATGCCCTTTCGTTGGCAGGGGGGTGATGTCTCTGCTTTTTAGTATGCTGTCTAGATTTGCTATAGCTTTCCTCCCCCAGGAGCAAGTGTCTTTTAATTCCTTGCTTGCAGTCCCCAGGAAAATAAAATCTGTCACTGCCTCCATTTCTTCCCCGTCTATTGGCCAGGAATGGAGAGGGCCGGATGCCACGATCTTAGTTTTTCTTAACGTTGAGTTTCAAGCCAACTTTGGCACTCTCCTTCTTCACCCGCATCAGGAGACCAACCCTGAACTGGTCTTTAGAAGGCCAGACCCTGAAGAGGAAGCTTCAAAAGACTTTGGCCACCTCATGAGAAGAAAGGACTCGGTGGAGAAGAGACGAGTGTTGGAAAAGATGGAGGGCAATAGAAGAAGAAGGGGACGATGGAGAAGGAGAGGGCTGGAGGGAGTCACGGAGCTTAAATGGACTCCCGAGGATGGTAAAAGACAGGAAGGAAGAACGTTCTCCATGGGGGTTGCGATGGGTCAGACGTGACTTCACAATTAACAACAACAACACACACACAAACACACACAGACAAAATTTGTTTCCCTCTGCCGCCTTCTCCTTTGATCAACTCCCTTTTCTCCTTCTTCACTGCTGTCCATCTACTTATGAATGAATAATTTATGGCTTGCAAGTACCCACTTCGATTGTCTGACGCTAAGCAGCTTGCAGGGTCACATGGAATATACAGGACACGTTAAGAGAGAGAGAGAGAGGGAGGGAGGGAGGGAGGGAGAGACAGAGAGAGAGAGAGAGAGAGAGAGACCTACCTACCTACCTATCTGGCTTAAAATTATTGTACATTATTAACTGTACTATATGATACTATTTGCATATAGCATATTATTGTTATATTTGTCTTATGCATCTGAAAGGGAAAATGAGAGAGAGAGAGAGAGAGAGAGAGAGAGAGAGAGAAGGCATCAACAGAGGGATAGAATCAAGATGACAGAGACAAAAGGATTAAAGAATAGAAAGAGATGGATGGATGATAAATAGATAATACAAAGAGATAGAGAGAAAGAGAGACAATAGAGACAGATGATAGATAGTTGGATGGATGGATCGATGGATGGATGGATGGATGGATAGATGGATGGATGGATGGATGGAAGGATTGAAGGATTGATGGGTGAGTGGATGGATGGATGAAGAGAGAATTCAGAGAGAGAGAGAGAGAGAGACAATAGAGATGATAGATAGAGATGGATGATTAGATAGATAATCATCTATCCATCAATCTCTATATAGCATCTCTATTGTCTCTCTGAATTATCTATCTATCTATCTATCTATCTATCTTAGATAATTAGATAGATAGTTAGATACCTAAATAGCTAGATGATAGATAGCTAAATGATAGATAGATAGGTAGGTAGGTAGGTAGGTAGGTAGATAGATAGATAGATAGATAGATAGATAGATAGATAGATAGATATGAAGGGAGAGGAAAAGGGAGGGAGGATGGATAATAATAATAGTAATAGTAATAATAATAATAATAATAATAATAATAATAATAATAATAATAATAATAATAATAATA